TAAGAAGTTAGGGTCTTCTCATGCATCTTGCCTGAGTGTGTCTTGCCTGGACCTTTGTGTGTGGCTTTTTTTTTTATTCTCCCATGTGCATGTCTGCTTTTGAGTGTCTTGATTTCCCAATGACCCTTAATCCAACTTCTCTTCAGAGCCTTAGATGGTATATTGTATGTATCTCTCCAAAAATCGCTTTTCCCAGGCAACTGCAGTCCTGCAGTCCTCCTGGATCTTTCATGAGCAGTGTGCCTATTGTTTTTCTCTATTGAGAGTCAACTTAGATGAAACAGAGAAGGGCTAGTCTTTTAGGTAGCCTCCAGACAAGCTATACCATTGCAAACAAGTTCTTATGTGTTCCCTCTGGTTTGAGGGAAGTTATTTGTAACTGAGCTTCCACTTCCTCTAGACCAAGACCATGCTATAACAAGGAGGGTGTGGGTGAGTTAAATCACAGTAAAGTCTCCTACTATTTTGAATGTAACTTTTTCTTGCTCAAGTGTTAACTTGGTTGCTGTAGACCTTTTCTTATTTTACAGAGCTGCTTTAAGGTTATTTCAGCCAATTTTTAGGGTGTTTGATAAAACTGAATGTAGGAAGCAGCCAAGTGCTGTGTTGGAGATACATATAAGGTGCTAGAGAAAGAGAAAAGGAATGCCTGGTTCTGCTGGAAGTAATCTAGAAGGGTTCCTAGAGGAAGAATAATTGAGCTAAGTCCCTAATGCATTCCAGGTAAAGAAACCACCAAGAACACTGGCAGAGGCTTGTGAAGGGTGATGGTGCTTGGAAAAAAGTATTTGGGTAGTAAGGAATGCAAGGGGACAAAAAGGTGCAAAGGATCAATTACAAAGGAGGCTGTTTGCCAAGTCAGGTATTTCAGATTTGGTCCTGAAAGTGATGAAAAAACATTAAAATTAAGGAGGCAGTGACACGGTCAGATTTACCTTTGAGAACAAATGACTCTAGCATTTGTTGGAGGATGGATCGGAGCTGGGCAAGGATAAAAAAGTATCACTAGTTAAGGAAATTCTCACACAGTTGAAAGAGATAACAGTGGTCAAATCCATGGTGGCAGTGGTGGGATAGAGAGGAGGAGGTCTTTAGAGGAATTATTAGAACTTAGTGACTTATTACAGGTTGGGAATAACTCTAAGAAAGAGAATGGCATGGATGATGGTACCATTTCTGAAGCCAAGGGCTATCAGAGGAGCCATTTTAAAGAGGAACCTGATGAATTATTTTTATATTATGAATTGTTAAATCACATAAGACATTACAATGCATTACTTTGTGATTTCAAATAAGTGAAACTTAAAAATGAGGTTGATGCCCTCATTGGCCATCTGCCCCAATTGCAGCTCTTCCCTGAGAGATTGCCACTCCCAGCAATGTAGTGTATCTTTTCAGGCCTTCTGTGTATTTCTAAACCTAGCCTGACAAAATGGTCACTTTTTAGATATCTAACTTATATATTGCATACCCTATGTGTCACTTAATTTTTTTTCCCTATAAAAGCAATATGTTAGAGGTTTTTTTCTTCATTCTTTTATGACGGCTGCATAGAATTCAAATATAGACTCACCCAATGGACCCAATGATGAGTATTGAGTTTTTGCCCAAGTTTCTTGTTCTAACAAATGATGCTACAATGGATATACTTTTAAATATAACTGTATAAATTAGTGTAATTTTTATCTATACAAGTAGTTACTGAGAAGTGGAATTTCTGGTCCTAGGGTACACACTCTTATTTTGGTGGCCATTGCCAAACTCTCTACATGGCTGTGATTGTGCAGTATATAAGAGTGCTCCTTACCCTACACTTGCATCAATAATTAACATAATCAAGGTATTTTTCTGAGTGATAACTAATATGCTATTGCTTTAGCTTGTATTTTTTTTTAATTTATTTATTTATTTCAGAGTTGTGGGGTACAAGTGAGGATTTACTTCATAAGTAGGCTGCATGCAGGTGAAATTTGGGCTTCTAGCTGCCCCTCACTCCCCCTAGTAGTGGACCAGGTACCCTTTGTGTTGTCATGTACCCTCTACCACACCCCTCTCCCTCCCTCCCCTAACAGTGCCCAGCAACTGCCAATCCCACCGTTGTGCTAATTTGACTAGGGTTCAGGGCCTGCTTATGAGTAAGAGCATGCAGTATTCAGTTCTTTGTTTCTGATAGTTCACTTACTATGATGGTCTCTAACTGCATCCAAGTTGCTGTGAAGGTCATGATTTTGTTCTTCTTAATGGCTGCATAGTACTCCATCATGTATATGTACTACATTTTCTTTATCCAGTCCATTTTTGATGGGCTGCAGGGTTAGTTTCATATTTTTGCTATTGTGAATAATGCAGCAATAAACATGCATGTACAGGTGCCTTTTGGGTAGAGCAATTTATGTTCTCCCAGGTATATTCTCAAGAGAGGGATTACTGGGTTGTATGGAAGATCAATTTTTAGTTCTTTTAGGAAACCCCACACTACCACAGAGGTTGAACTAGCTTACATTTCTACCAACAGTGTAGAAGCGTTCCCTTTTTACCACAGTCACATCAGCTCCTATTGTTTTTTGATTTTCTGATGACAGCCATCCTTACTGGAGTTAGAAGGTATCCCACTGTAGTTTTGATTTGCATTTCTCTGATGATTAGTGAGGCTGAGCATTTTTTCCATGTTTCTGCTGGCTGCTTGTATGTCATCTTTAGAGAAGTGTCTCTCCATGCCTTTTGCCCACTGTTCGATGAGTTTGTTGTATTTTTTAAAATCATGGATGGAACTGGGTACAATTTCAATACCTGTAATCTCAGTGCTTTGTGAGGCCAAGGTGGAAGAATTGCTTGAGCCCAGGAGTTTAAGACTAGCTTAGGCAACATGGGGAGACTTCATCTCTACAAAAAGTTTTAAATATTTTCAACTAATCTCTCTGAGAGCTAATCACCCTTATATATAAGAATTCTTTGAAAATTAATTTTTAATTTACTCAACATCCCTTCATGATTAAAAAAAAAAACCCCAAAACAAAAATCTCCCAACAAATTAGGAAGAAATATACTTCAACATAATAAAGGTCATAGATAACAAACCCACAGCTAGCATCATTTGTATGTCTTCTATGAATTGCTTGTTTTTGTATTTTGCCCATTAGTCTGCTGGGCTGTATTTCTATTTTTTTTTTTTTTGTCAAAACATTTTCTACCCTAACCCTTCATCTATTTTATGTCACCAATATCTTCTTTAGTCTCCTGTTTATCTTTTACAGCTGTTTATGATGTTATTAATTTTGATGGAGGTAAATGTGTCAGTCGTTTCCATGATGGCTCATGAGTGCTAGAACTTAAGAAAAGCTTTGCTAATTCCTATTGCCATCGGCACACTCAGTGTATATTTTGTACTATCATTTTGATTTTTTAAGTTTTACGATTGAGGTATCAGTCGGAAATTTAAATAGAATTATCTAAATGGCAGGTGATTGTTTCAGAATGAAGCAGAAGTCAAAACCTACAGTTGAGATACAGATTGAGGGCTTCTCAGAGTGGAGAGAATGTTTGAAACCATAGGCAGAGATAAGACTGTCCATAGGAAAGTAGACAAAGAGTAGTAGGCCAGGGACACAGATCTGAGGAACAGCAATACTAACAGAGCAAGTGGAACAAAAGAGTATATAAGAAACCCAGAAGGAATGTCCAGAGAGGTAGGAAGGAAGCCAGGGAATTAGGGATTAAAAAAAAGGGCAAGTTTTAACAAGGTGTGAATAGCCACTGCCCTCAATGATGACATTTACTGTAACAGTTACTTATGTGTTTTTCAAGGTAATAATGACTTTCCAGAACAAGCACCAGGTCTTATTTACATTTGTATTCCCTAGATATGAATATGTTTCCTGCCCATAGTGGCATTCATTCATCCAAAATAGTGTAATCTATAAAGCTACCAATTAATCTATAAAAGCTTGTTGAATGAATATATTCTGAAATCTTCCTCTTTCCTTAAATCAATGTAGCAAAGCAAATTTTATAACTAAAAATTTTGAGACAGTATTGTGATTTTTTTTTTTTTTTTTACTCAGCTGCATAACCAAAACTGGGGAAGTGGCTTGCAGTTCTTCCTTTAGATCTGGCCTTTAACAGGTCAATGTGACAGCCATGAAGTTGCAACTTTAGGAGAAATGTGGGGTTATACCTGTAAAACTCTGCTGATTTGAGAGGAATAGGCAATGTGTTCACAGATGCCAACATCTCTTTAATGTACCCTTTAACTACCTTGGAGACTTTACATTAGCCATTGTTTTCCTGACATTCGTTATTTTGTGGATTTATGAAGCACCTTTTCTTGAACTTCAATCGGTAAATTGTCTGTAAAATCTAGTCCACAGGGTAAAGGAATGGAATTATTCATAAGATAGTTTCTACCTCACTTCATGATGAAATTACTCACTCAGAGTATAATTAAGTCATAGATGCACTGGCCCAAATGTGGATAGAGGTGAAAAGGAAATAATTCCTTTTCCAATTTGGGTGCTTTCTGATGTTTGACAAGCATCTGGCATATTAATTCATGAATGGAGGAGAACTTGAAGTTTCTGTAAAGAGAAGAGAGGGTTTTTTTTTATTTACTGCTTTTTGGGAGCTTTAGAGAATAACTAGTGGGGGAGAAAAAGGATAAGCAGACTTTAAAAGTTTAAGGTTGTATACAGGCTGACAAGAGTGAAATCTGATAAGGAAGGAATAAAGCTGAAGCCTGAGAGAGGCAAAAGCCAGAAGAGAGGGAGGAGGTGGGATAATTCTAGACTGAGTGGGCACAGGATATGCATGTGCCAGCATGAGCTGAGAGGGTCCAGGACAAGATAGATTGCCAGTCGGCCGAGTGCTCTACCATGACCAGAAACTCTGACTGAGGGTCTCTTGGGCCATCCCTTTTGCCTGCCCATACTGTTCTCCAGTGGTTGTGTGTGAGACGTGACCTGGTGAGTGCAGGTCCAAGCCAATGAAATACGCATGCTCAGATGTTGCAGACAAAGTAAAATTTATTGAGACAGACAGAAATGCACCTACTCAGGACTACAGTTAAGCATTTACTATTAACCAAAGAGTCGTGTTCACATTCCAAATAAGTCTACGTGGAAAAGCATTCAGAATTTACTAGGTTTTGCTATGTCACTATTTCATCTACAATAGGGACAACAAACTAACACTCAGGATTTGATGGGCTCTCATTACAATGCTACACATGTAACAGGGACAAACATCAGTGACTCTGAGAAAAAAAGTATAAAAAGACCAAAACCACCCATTGTAGAACAGGTTCTTGGATGTTAACTGTATAGTGTGGTCAAGGTTAAAAAAAACAAGACAAAAGAAACCCAAATGTGAATGGCATCCTGGGAAGAGCAGAGGGGCAGACCTGGACAGACATGTTGTCATTTGGTGCTGTGGGTAGGAAAATGGGCATAAAGAAGGGAAAACTATTATACAAAACCTCAAACTCAATACTAAGGTAACCCCATGCCTAGAATATTTGTAGAAAGAAAAAGGATGTTAAATATGGCAGACAACTAACCACGGTTGAAGAAAACTCGGGGATTTAAGTTGGATGCCAAGGAAATGATATTAAATAAAATAACTCTTTATGGAATAAGAATAAAACTATTCACTAAGTACTCTCCAAAAATGAGTAGTGAGTATTCAATTTAATACCTGTCTCAAACAAAGGATTGGATTATCACAATTTTTCTTATAAAAATCATATTTTGTATACTTGGTCACAGTAACTAAAGGGCTCCTTCCAAAAAGAGGAAAATTAAAATTTTAATTTTAAGGACAAAGTAACTCAGTCTATTCTTTAGTGCTTGTGAAAAGTATTAAAGATCTTTTAAAAACCTCATGTTGCTATGCCAAAGTGAGGCATGAAAAGAAGTGATAATGTTACTCTGTTGATTTTGGGGTTTGCATCCTGTGGGAGGGGTGGTTACTTAATATTTTAATGAATCAAAATATCTTCTTGGAATGTCTCTGAAAATGGCATCTCATTACCTTCCTGGGAATTGTCTATTAAGCACTCTTCTCCATCATTAAGTTAATGCTAAGGATCTTTAAGTGTTATTTTAATTTGATACTTGTCATAAGATAATTAGGCAAATTAAAATCAGTGGTTCACCCTGTTCCTAGAGGTTTTTGTAAGTGAAATTGTCGATTTTAATTTGTTCTCTTGTGCATTTTTCCGAGCTCAGAGGAGACAGCAACAATGGTTTTCTTTGATGATCTAAGCTGAGATTTTTAATGTGTCTTGATTTTTTAATACACTTTATTTAACTTAGCTGCAATTAAGCACCTGTTTTCTAAATTATGATCTCAAAGTTTTGTTCAAGTGAGAAAAAATATTGAAGCAGAGATGATGAAGTTGAGATTCTAACTCGGAGCTTGCCTATGGTCTCTCTATGAAGAAAGAAAGAACAAACCCTCAGGGTCATGGTTGTACATGTATTTACCAGGGCAAAGGACTTAGCCAGATGACGTATGTTCGTATTCCATCGGAGACCAACTCTAGGGATGCTACTTTGTCCAGCCAATGCAAGCACTGGAACTTGCTAATTTAGGGTGGGTTGGTACATCTGTTGGTCAGTTTAGGGTGGAGGATTGGCCAGCTGCCACTGTGATCATGGTTTGGCTGAATACAGTTGTTGCCTGAGTTTATGTGGTCTTCTTGAGGACTGGCTGAAGCCCATGGGAAGGCAAAATAAAGAAATGTGGGCCAGAGAGCCTTGCTTAGGTGAAAACAAGGTGGGGCAGGAGCTGTGGGACAGGAGCTTAAGGACTGGTACTGAACTGAGCGGGGCCACTTTGAAGACTACTCTTTGGTATTTGTAGCCTGATCAGCTTGATAGGGAGAGAAATCCTAAAGAATGTTGAGATGATGACCTTATCGAATTTGGAACTAGATTCCAATGAGTTCAGTGAAAAGAAACACAAGAGTGAAGAGCTTTCTTAATTAGTATTCTGACATTTGTGGGGAGGGTCAGGAGGAGGCAAAATTAGCTCTTACAAATCCAGTGCTAGCTCCACATGCTACTATGAAGTTTTGTGTAGGTCTCCATCTGGGGTTATTTGCAAATGATGAGTAGTTAAAAAAAAATCTATGTGGTTTTTAACCTTATCATGATTTATGAATAGAAAGGGGACAGAAGCAGAATTTAGTTCAGAATCTTAAATTTTCTTCTCTTAAGAACACTGTGGCACTGTCTTCTCAGAGAACAGGGATATGTGTTGCATGCCTTAGAAAAAGCCCTTGAGTAGGTAGGGAAGGAAGGGACCTATGGCAGACAGGATGACTGCAGCCCAAGGGGGCTTTAAGCAGAAACAAGAGAGATGGCTTGTGGAGCTGCCTGCGTGGGGGTTGCATGGCTTCTGCAAGAAAGTGATTCAGGCAGACAGAAGCTTGATCTGAATCAGAGGCTTCTAGTCACTCTACTGATGCAGAGAGGAAAAACCTCCTCAGCCTGCAGGCTACAAGTGCCACCAACTATTAGTGCAAGAAAGGACTTTGACACAGATTTCTTATGTCAGAAATTTTGTTCCAGGTCTGGACAAGCTGACAAATCTGTATTTGTTTTTCAAAGGAGTTTTTCATAGATATCCAAACACTTTTTCTGAGAAGTATGTATATGGTGTGCAGGACACACACATACACAGTCTCTTCTGTACATACATTAATGTTTATGCATATACAGAGAGAAGCATCCAGACACCAATTTTTAATAAAGAAAATGAATTCCCCAAAGGAACTCTTCACTGAATTAAGGCTACTGTTTGTAGGAAGCCAGATATAGTGATGTGAAAAACTAATTTTTGATAATAAACACCAGAAGCAATGGGAGCAAGGTAAATGGTACTGCGTGTGTGTGTGTGTGTGTGTGTGTGTGTGTGTGTGTTTCCACGACATCTACAGGACACAAGAAAAGCACTTAGACACTGTAAGGCTGGGAACCATGCTGTAATAACCACCAGTGTGGGTAATTAAAAAGGGTATTTGACGTTGAAGAGGGTGGGGGCTCCCTGCACGGTCAGAATTCCACATAAATCACATGCTTGTTGCAAAAATCTCACAGGAAGGAAGGAAGCTCTAATTAAGCCAACCATTTCCCTGTCCAGAAAAGAAAAACAAGAACACAACACCCTTTCTTCCACACAAACGTATGCAAAATCAGAATGCTCTGGGAACAAGCAGTTGTCTTCCAAACCTTATGTCGGGTATAGAGAGCAACAATGGAGAAGAGACCTTGGTGCCTTGGAGTCTTAGATACAAATGCAGGAATAGGAAGTGACTTGCAATTTTGTGCAAAACCTTGTGTCCTCTTTCTTGTGGGCACTACCATATGTAGCCAACCTCATCTTCTTTGTCATCATCCTCATCCTCATCGTCCTCCGTCACAGCCCGGGTGTGCACCCTCAGCTTCCCCTCTTTGTCCTTTGGTCCCAACTCCCGTTCATCCTCTAGGTCATCCAGCAGGACCACGGAGCCACCGCTGCCAAAATCCCCTGAGGTTTCCTGCTCCTCTTCTGAAACGTGAATAGAAGGCTTGAGGTTAGCTTCTGCTTATACAGTGTGACCCACGATGGGGGTTCCCTTGTATGGAACTTTCTGAACATGGAAACAGCCCCATCCTGCTAGGGTCAGTGCCTGGGGCATGGACTACAAACTGTTCTGATGTGAGCCCTAGAATTCTTGAGATGCTCTTACCTTTTCGGAAGGTTTATAATCCTAAGGAAAAAGTGAAGGTAAACTATGTTGCTATGTTCCCTGACTGCCACAACTGTTGTCCAAACCTCACATCATGGTGAGCTCCTGCAGCCTGTAAAGTTAGCTATGCACGAGCTCACGTGATTTCAGGATTACTGCCTCACCAATGGAAACTTACTGCAGACTGGAGCTACCTCTGAATTCCTCCACATAATGAGGATCCATGGGACACCCAGGGCATTTGTGGTGGTGCTGATATGGGAGGCCTTACTCACCACAGCTCACAGCACCCTGCTTCCTGGAACCAGCCAGCTCGTTCCCATATTTATCCACACACCAGCACTGCCCTGTGCTTCCATGGCACTGAGTGGCTTTGTAATAGCCCTCCTCATTACACCGCGGTATGAATGCCCCTAGGGGAACAAAAGGTGCAACTTTAATTCAGAGAAGTGCAGAGATACTCAGGATCAATGCCTTCTAACACAGGGAAGAGGCTCATGCATCAGACAGAATATTTACTTTAGGACCAGCAGCAGAGAATGGAACTGATTAGTTACTACTTAGTCGAAATCACAGGGTCCTTAGCATTTAGGTGCCCAAATGCATTGAACTCTAAGAAGCCCAGTTTTTATTTTTTTATTTTTATTTTTTTGAGTTGGAGTCTCACTCTGTTGCCCAGACTGGAGTGCAGTGGCCGCTCCCGGTCACCACAGCCCCACCTGCTGGGCTCCGGCGATCCTTCCGCCTCAGCCTTCCAAGTAGCTGGAACTACAGGCATGCACTACCACGCCCGGCTGATTTTTTAATTTATTGTAGAGATGAGGTCTCGCTGCCCAGGCGGGTCTCGAACCCGCGGGCTCAGGCAATCCACTCACCTCAGCCTCCCAGAGGTGCGGGATTACAGGCTGAGCCACCGAGCCCGGCAGAAGCCCAGTTTTTAAACATGCATGATAATAGCTAACCTATATTGAATACATATATATTCTGGGCACTGACCAAAATCATGCACATATGTGTATATGTGTATGTATATATGTAATGTATATACACATTCACACAAAATCTCTTATTCCCACAAGTCTAAGAGATATGTGCCTCTACTAACTTTTAACAAATAGGAAACTGAGGCTCAGGAAAATTAAGTAATCTGCCCAAGGCTCCTGCTAGTAAATATCAAGTCCAAAATTCATATCTTTCTATCTGAGTCCAAGGCAGTGCTTCTCAAACTCCTGTGATGGAGAACTTTACTGTCGGTTTTTAATTTCCAGTCTGTCATGGACCAATACTCTGCCAAACCACATAAAGTGACTCTGAAGTTGCTATGAAACTTTTAAATGCGTCAGTTTCTGTACTAAGTGCTGACTAATAACAAATGTTTTGTGAAATGCAAGCAGTCCTTGGGCCACACAGTTCCAAGCCATACCTTATCATTCCCTGCCTCTAACAGAGAGATGATAAGTTGAGTGCTTTGCTTGCGTTAGTTCATGGAGACATCACAATAGCATCATAAGTTGTTAGCGCTATTACTACCTCCCTGTCTATAGACCAAAAAAAGCGATAGGTTGAAGCTGAATAGCTTGCCCAAGGTTAAACAGGATTCCTTCTATTCCTTAGAGGAATCTTGGATTGTTACCACTGTTATTACATTTTTAAACTTGAGCAAGTCATATGGTTTCTATGCTTTGTATGTTTTTAATGAGATGAAATACTGGTGGCACAATATTAGAAAACTCTACCTTTGCTTTCCTGGCATGAACACTGCTTGGCCATGATTCATCGTTATTGGAATACACTATTTCTGATTCAATGTGCTGGTCCTTTTGCAAATATGTTACTAAGTGCAAAGAAGCCTATCATCTTGTTTGTGTTTTCTTCACTTTTTCTATCAAAGTTCCTAATTCATAAATTGATTCAGGATTTTTTTCTAACTTTTTTTTATACCCTAGGCATTTTATATAAAACAAGAATGTTCTCTTTCTTAAAAGATTTTTCCATAAAAGTATTTTGGACCTGGTGACTATTCTAGGGGGTGAGAGTAGCATTTTGGTTTTGATCTATTTGTGCCTTCTGTTTCTTTGTGGCCAAAATTTGGTCATTGATAGTATCATGTCATCTAAGTTTTCATAATTGTTATACATTGGTTTAGAGTGGTCTCAGGACTAGCAGCGACAGCATTAATTGAAAGCCCCTTAGAAATGAGAATTCTTGGGCTTCACCTGAGACATACTGAATCAGAAACCTGGAGAGTAGGGCCCAGTCACCCATGCCTTCATAAACCCTCCAAGTGACTCTGGTATACACTAAAGTTGAGAAACATAAATCTACAGTACTCTCCTATACCTGGGGAATAAAAGTTTATATCCCACTTTTAAATTCATGACCGTATTTGAGACTTTTACTCTTCATATTGTCAAGATTTGTCTAATCCATCAGTTTACTCAAAGAACCACCTCCAATATGCTATTATAGTACTGACTTCATTGTTTTCTGCTAAAATCTTGATCATTTCAGTGTGTGTTGAAAATCAGTTCAGTTTTTGAGTTGAAAATCTTACAGAGTTTTGATCTTTTCTTTTAAATGCATTTGAAGCTATGATGTTTCCTTTAAGTTTCACTTTAGTTGCATCTCATGTATTTTGGTACACAGTGCTTTTATTTTCATTCAGTTCTAAATATTTTGTAGTTCATTTCATCTTTGACCAATATTTATTTATAAAGCTCCTAAATGTACATGATTTTGGTAATCTCTTTTTTACTACTATTATGATTATGTTATGGCCATTGAACTTGATCTCTGATCGTTTATCTGAACTTTATTGAGTTTTCTTTTGTGGTATAGTCCATGGCAGAGACTCCATGTGTTTGGAAGATGGTATATTTAATGTCTATGTGAAAGAATATATATATATATATGTGAAGGCTAAGCATTGTGTTCAATTATTCTATATCATTTTTTGTCTACTTGACATGTAAGTTTCAAGCAGGAGGTATATAAAATATATTAAAATCCCTGAATATGAAAGTAGATGTGACAATTCCTTCCTGAAGTTCCATTTCTTTCTTTAAAGTTATGAGAATAGTCATGTACCACATATTTTGATCAATGATGAACTGCATTTATGACTATGGCCCCACGAGATTAAGCACCCTATTTTTACTGTACCTTTTCTATGTTTAGGTACACAAATACCACTGTGTTACAATTACCTGCAATATTCAGTACAACAACATACTGTTCAGGTTTATAGCCTAAGAGCAAACAACTATACCATATAGAATAGGTATGTAGTAGGCCATACCATTTAGGTTTGAGTTAGTGTACTCCACGGTGTTTATACAGTGACAAAGTCACTTGATGCTCCATGGTGTTTATACAATGACAAAGTCACTTGATGCATTTCTTGCAACACCTTCTCATTGTAAAGCAATGCATGACTAGATCAATTAATGGCATAATATGGTGAAAGGAACATTTCAGCAAGATGACACTCTGCTTTTTAGAATGCAAAGTATTTGCTTCTGTCAGATATTAGTGTTGCTAAGAAAAGAAGTATTTACTATCTTTTAATTTCAACTCCCTGTGGAATTGTTTTTTGTATAACTCTCCTTAAAAATACCAATCAATAATTTCTGTCTCATAATAAATGTGTTTGACCCATTCACATTGATTGTGATGACAGAAATGCTTACTCTTACTTCTGCCACCATATTCATGTTTCCTATTTATTATTTCCTCATTTCCTGCCTTCTGTAGAAATTTTTTTTTTTTTACTCCATGTCTTTCTTCCATAGTTTTAAAAACCATGTATTATATTTTTAATATTCTTGTGTTTACTCTTACATTTTCTACAGAGAAAGTTTTGGCTAGTAAGAGCTGAAGTTAATCTATATTTTATCTTTTCTTTCTGGACAAACTAGGAACTTAATACATTCTTACCACCTTTTTCTCATTTTCCTCAACAGTCTAGAATTTTAATTCTAGATTTCTATCAAAAGAGTTGTATAGATCATATTAATTTAGATTTAGTGGCATATCACTTCTTTTACATAATTGCATCTGAATAATTCTGTGGTCATTTGCCTGGCAGAGTAAATTCTTTATGTCTTAAGTCTGTGGTTAGTAAGCATTCTGAACTTTAGATGGTTTAAGAGTATCTCTGCCATCATACTTGAACAATCATCAGGATGAATTTAAAATCTGTAGGTCCAAAGTTATTTTCCCTCAGCACTTTGGAGGTATTATTTCTCTTTTTAAGTCAGTGTGGCCAACAAGAAGTCTGATGCCAATCTGAATCTCATTTCGCTATAGGTAATCTTTATCTACAGTAGATTTTACTTTGGTTTTTCTCACAGGGTGCTTGTGTGCATGTGTGTGTTTCATGATGTATGCTCAGCTATGGGAGAATTCTCCTTTGTGTGACCCAGGTAGTAATGTCATTTACATCAGCCTTGTGAAAACAGAAGCCCCTGCTTTATGTCTTTCTACTCTCTGATTTTATTTCTGATAATTTTTTAAGGTGCATATGTTTTCTAATTACCTTTTATGTTGTAAAAAAGTAAGGAGAGCATGGGAGGGAGACATTTCTATGATCTTGAACCAGGATTTAAACCCAAATCCAGCTGACTCTGGGGTCTAGTACAGAAGACTCTATTCACCAGGCTATTCAAGATGACTGGGTTCTCAGAGCGCAAATGAGATCGTGCATAGAAAGGTGATCCTAGAGACCCTGGGACACCATATCTACCACTCAGGAAAGACTATTGATGCCACAATTAGTGGCTCAGCAGTGCCCATCTCTTCCTTAGGAGCTCAAGCCAGTGCACATCACCCCTAGTTTTCAGGGGGCAGTAGATGGAAAAGGAAAACTAGATGCCATCAATCACCCACAGAACCAAAAGGTAGATAAAGATTTGTGAAAGATTCTCAATCAAGAACTATAGGCTGGGTGTGGTGGCTCATACCTAGTATCTCCATTCTCTAGGAGGCTGAGGCAGGAGGATTGCTTGAGCCTGGGAGTTTGAGAATAGCCTGGGCAACATAGTAAGATTTCATCTCTATAAAAAAAATCCAAAACTTAGCCTGGCTTGGTGGCACAGGTCTGTAGTCCCAGTTACTAGGGAGGCAGAGGTAAAAGGATCACCTGAACTCAGGAGGTCGAGGCTAAGGTGAGCTGGGATCATGCCACTGCACTCCAGCTTGGGTGAAATCCCCACTCAAAAAACAAAACAACAATTAAAAAAACTGCAAAGAAAGAACAAGTGGAGAGCTGGGGAAATGCTGATCCTTCTCCTGAAGATACGGTTGGAAAACAGTAGCACTTAATGGACCAAAATAATAATCATCATCATCATCATCATATAGGAAAAAGAAGAAGAAAGGAGGAGGAGGAGAGAAAAAGGAAGAAGAGGAGAGAGGGTGGACAAGGGAGAAAAGGGAGGAGGAGGAGGAGGGAAAAGGAAGGGGGGGAGGGGAAGAAGAAAGAGGAAAAGGTAGGAGAGCAGGGAGAAAAGGGGGAGGAGGAGGAACTGGGCTGAGCCCCAGGTTAGTAAGAGCAGGTGCTGCTCCAAATCTGTACTGCATAGAATTACCACTTTTTCTATGTAGGCAGTAATTATAACTGATGATAGTTTGTTGTTGGTTGTTTTATGTATTTATTTATTTGAATCCATATGCCCCTGAATATCCAGTTATTATATTAGGAGCTTTCCCCATGGGGAAAATAAAAACAGTTGTAGGCAAATGAATGGCATTTCTGTGCATTAGCCAGAGTAATCTCACACATGGGCGATGTGATAAAACAAACTTTACAACAAGGTGGGGTACGTGGTAGGAGAGAGGCAGCATTTCATTCATGTGTGCTGGGGAAAAATGAGGCATTTTTATCTCAGAACTGTCTCATTATGAATAAGGCAAGAGCAAGATATTCATATCCTATGAAAACAATGATTTTTATTTTTTATTTTATTTTTATTTTTATTTTTTTTTGAGTTGGAGTCTCACTCTATCACCCAGACTGGAGTGCAGTGGCCGCTCCCGGCCACCACACCCTCGACCTGCTGGGCTCCGACGATCCTTCCGCCTCAGTCTTCCAAGTAGCTGGAACTACAGGCGCGCGCTACCATGCCTGGCTAATTTTTTGATTTATTGTAGAGATGAGGTTTCACCAAGTTGCCCAGGCGGGTCTCAAACCCGCGGGCTCAGGCAATCCACTCACCTCAGCCTCCCAAGATGTGGGAATACAGGCTGAGCCACCAAGCCTGGCTGAAAACAATGTTTTTTAAAATGGCAATATACTGGTTCTAAAACTACCTAGGAACACCATTCCAACCCAAAATAACATCCCTTATGGAGGAATGAGATCAATAAGCATACCCCTTGCACAGGAAAAACCTAGAGTGGCATGATCCAGCCATTTTGCTTGTAGACCAGAAAGACATCTGTATGCCTTTTTATACAAGAGAAGAACATAGGCCTGGAGAGTTCAAAATCATGACAACTTTGGAATTCCTTGAGTTGAATATGATGTTATCAAAAGTCACAAGTATGAGGCAAGCCAGGAAGCAAGTAGTTTTCAAATGTAGAAGGAAGAGGGAGTATGTACACTGAAGTGATTCAAAAAATCAGAAGAGGTGAAATTGCCAGAGTTCATAGACTGCCTACATTTGACAGTCTTCAAGAAAACTCACCCATGTCCTTCAAGCAAGTAGATAAACTTCTGAAATGGCAGGCTGCTTAGGGAATGCACCTGCCTCTGAATGCTTCACAGGGATAATTCTGAATTACTGTGTTGCAGCTGTCAGCTTTTTTAAAAAAGCAAGGGAAGAAAAGCAGACTCCTGTCTTCAGTAAACAAATGAGAACTGCCAAAGTCTCCATGATGGCCAGTATGAATGTCATGACTTCCTCTGAGTGCTGGAGAATGGAGGACTCCAGCTAAAGGGACACTTAGACAGGTTTGCACGCATTCCTTACCTTTGCCGTGGCCAGATGTGCATATTAGGGGAACACAAATACAACCCACATGTTAGGGAAACACACACTCACACAACCCACTTGCTTCCTCCATGTCTAAACAGCTTTCTTCCAGGGACTAGGTAAAGGCAGAAATGCACTTTAGCACACACGTATCCTTCAACCCCATCTGATAAATGTTGAGGGGTATGTAGCTCATCTTCCCCCTTAAATGAATAGCTTCATCTGGGGAACTGAGGAAATGTTATAATGTATAGGTCTTATAATTTTAGGTATAAAAATAACACTTGAGAGGGCCATTCAATGGCCCTGTTGATTAAAAAGAGAAAACCAAGGTTTCTTGTAATCCACTATCAGGGAAGGGTTCGTAGTGGGGAAGGTGCTGAACTCCAGCCTGGCTGAGCTGTCCCCTGGTCCTGGCTGACCTCTGGTTTCTCTTCTTGCTGATGGAACAACAACCCACCAGCTGATGCTCTGTTTATGTCCAGCTATCTGTGGCATATTACCAGCTGCCTGGAATAACTCTGCTTGGGGTAAAACGAGGCATTTCTTTCGTGAAACACTGGCCCTAATTGAATAACCATCACAGTGCTGAACATTGCAAGAGACATGGATAGTTTAATTAGTTGTTTAAATAATTGGCAAGAAATTGTACTTACCCAACAGGCTTTTCCCCTTGCTCAGCTTCTGAATTCTGTTCATTTCATTCTGGCAAGGGAGACCTAAAAAATAATTTATGTAAGTCAGTTTCCAGATGGTATAGGATATAATCTCTAATGATTGACTTCGCTCTTGATGTGAAATGTAGACAATGACACACCTGGGAGTGGAATTGCTCCATATGCTGTTACTATGCAACCAAACAAATTCAGGCCATTAGTGTTACTCATTAGAAAACACCCTCATATCACAATGCACTTAAAATAGTATTTGGGGGCTACTTGCATGGTACAGGAATTTTTCTTCCTGTCACCAACTCAAGCAAATACTAGGTGATTTGCTAATAGACTTGTCTCTCTCTATGAGGAAGAAAGTAATCACCTAAGGCTTCTATGAGCTGAAAGCCAGGGCTAAGGCTTATTGGGGGAAGTGTTCTGATCCTACAGCCCACCTAATGAGAGATGGCAAATGTTTATCCACCCCAGGTCTTGCTGCAGGAGAGAGAAAGGATTAGAATGGCTACTTCACACCTGAAGGTTCACTACCACAAGAAAGTAAAACACAGGCCAACTATGAAGATATAGGAGTGATCTGGAGAGGTGGCGAATGCACCAGTTATTAGTGAGACTTTCCTAGCTGAACACTTTGGGCAAATCTCTTTACCTTTCTCAGCGCAAGTCATCAGTTGTAAAATATACATCGGATGAACCATCATGAAACCACCAGTTCTCCAGTGAAGGACAGACAGAGTGGGAGCCACATAGCTAAGTGGGTGTATGAAAGCATGTGGTGTTCTCTTTACTCCCTAGAGAAGAACTTACTTCAGTGCAAAATGAAAAGTGGCCTCACTAATGCGTCAGAGATCTCTCATGACTTGCCTTTGCAGATCTTGTGGCTCTGGGAGGTTCTGCTATCTGTTCCAGGTCCTCCTGGCAGTGGTAGAGGTGGTCTGATTCTCTAGGATCTTGTCTTTGGCTTCTACTACCTCTGTCCACCCCACATTTGTCTATAAAGTATCTAAGCACTTATTGACAGCTAACTATTACTCTGAAGACTGCACAATGCCACCTGGTCTTGTTTCCGTGAGAGAAAATGATTCTAAAATACATATTGTTTACTTGTTTCAGATGTGTTCAGAGTAAAGGAGAAAGATATCAACTGACAACAACAAAGTAGAGGAGAAACAAATCCCATCTGGATTCTAAAAGGTAGCATTTACTATGACCTTCCTGGATGCTGCGCCATGGGTAAGGATCCTGGCTTACCCTCACAGTTGTTGGAGGGGTAGTCTATCCAGAGATGTCTGTGTGGCCAGGTGACCAGCTCTTGACTCTTGGTCAAGGCAGTAAATAACCTCACTCTCAGGACCTGTCATCGGACTTCCAGGTGAAGCATTTACACTCAGGCTCTGTATTCTAAAGAACTTGGGCTAAAATCACATGATTTATACAAACTCAAGCTTAAAGCTATTGTTAGGCTTCATACTGAATCACTACAAGTACTTATCCTAAAGTGAGAAAATGGTTATTATTTAACATTGATTTGTAGTTACTAGTAGATGTGACTAGAAGAGAGAAAGAAATGAGGTATAAAAATTGAAAATGAAGAGAAAAGTTATCACTATTTGCAGATGATATGATTGCACACCTGAAAAATCCAAGCTAACCAACCAGAATAACTTATAAACAAAATGAGAATTTTGTGTGGTGTTTGGGAACAAAATTAATGTTGGAACAACCACCAGTGAGAGAGTATAATGGAAAAAAATCTATTTCATTTACAATAGTAACAACAATAAACACAAGGGAAGTATCATATCTGTGAGAACAAAATTTAAAAATGTAATGCCACTGGGTTGATAGGTCCTATTCTAAGACAAAAAGGATTCCGTATTAAACAGCTATCAATTCTCACTATATTAATCTAATTTTGCCTGATGCTAAAAAACAATACCAATAGAAAAATTTTAAATTGAATAAAATGACTCTGAAGTTCACAGAGGAAAAGAAACATATATAAAAGAAACATATATGAAGATTCATGAAAATTCTAAAAAAAGATCAATGGCCACAGAGGATGGCCCTACTGAATGTTAAAATATACTGTAAAATAATTGTGATTTAAACAGCATAAAACTAACTTATTAATAGTTGAATATACAGGATAGAGGATTCAGGAATAGTTATAGATACATATATGGGTTTTATGCATATACTGTATATATAAAATAGAAACTGCATTTCTTTTTTAAAAAGATGTGGGGTACAATTCAGGGTTAGGTATACAAATGTTCATTATGCAGGTCCCCTTGTTAATGAAGTGTGCCCTCTCCCCCGACCTGCAGCTTCCCACTGTCAATTCCCAACCCCCCCAACACACATACACAGTTCCCCACTACCGCCAATCCCTTTCTTATAGTATTGATAGTTGTTCAAGGTCCAGTTATGAGTGAGAACATGTGGTACTTAGTTCTTTGTTTCTGAGATAGATCACTAAGTATTATAGACTCTAAGTCCATCTAAGTTGCTGTGAAGTTCATAATTTTGTCCTTCTTTATGATTGCACAATATTCCATCATGTATATATACCACATTTTTAAAATCACATTTCAAATTGAAGGGAGAAAGATGGGCAACTAGATGACCTTATCCAGGACTGGGAAAGGGGCTGGGACCCTACTTTACTGTGTACACAGTAGAGTAATACAAGATTTAAATATACAACAACAAAAACCAAAGATTTCTTCTTATTAAAAAAAGAGAATTGCTTTACTATCTTAAAGTAAGAAATATCTTTCTAACCTTAACACATATAATGCATAAATGTATATAATGCATAAACATTATAGCTTCTTAGAAGTCACAAACAAAAAGATGGATAAATTTGACTATCTTAATATTTGAAATTTTGTCCTAACAAAAATACGTGAAGTGAAATTTGGGTGAAAAAAGTATTTGCTATACCTATGACTAGAAAATTACAACTTCCTTAAAAGAAAGTTTCCTACCAAAAACAAAAACACAAGTCTAACAGAAAAAAAATCCAACTATGTATATATATAGTTGAATAAACAGGATAGAGTATTCAGGAATAGATATAGATACATATATGGGTTTTATACATATACTGTATATATAAAATAGAAACTGCATTTATTTTTTTTTTTAAGATGTGGGGTACAATTCAGGGTTAGGTATACAAATGTTCATTATGCAGGTACGCCTGTTAATGAAGGATGCCCTCTCCCCACACCTGCAGTTTCCCACTGTCAATTCCCACCCGATCCCCCCCCCCCACACACACACAGTTTCCCACTACTGCCAATCCCTTTCTTATAGTATTGATAGTTGCTCAAGGTCCAGTTATATATATATAAGTATTCAATAATTTAAATACTTCAATATTAGCAGTCATCTTCCTTTCCTAGGGGTGGGGTATGCCTGTCATGCCAGTAGTATGTTGTCCTGAATACCTGACCCATGTTAGGCCCAAGTTGGGGCTTGGGATTTGAATTCAGATGCAGGGCAGTCTCTGCAGGCTCTGTTATCTGAACTACTTGGGCACACCTTCCCCAGGAAGCTGAGACAGGGGGAGGTAAAGCCAGACCACAGGGTCCCACAGGAAGTCAGATCAGCCACTACTGGATTCCTGAGGGTCATCCTGTCCCTAGTCTGAATCCCGCTGCAGGCTGACTCCCCCATCTGACTTTGGGATAAATGAGATAACCAGGTATCCTTTCATCTATTCTCCAAATCTTGTCTTTTTCTGTTATTAGCTGCTTCTTACTTATAACAAATATCCTTGTTTGAGACAGTATAAACCCATACTTATCCCAGAGAAGCCGACCTGTGGTTTTCTCTAAAGGGAAGATGAAAAATTCCTGTGACAATAGAAATTGTGATGCTCTTCTATTTGTACTATGTTTTTCACATTGATAATCTCACAGTGGCCTTTTATGTAGGAAATTATGCAGGAAAGGTTTCTATGCCTCTTTTATAGATTAAAAAACAGAGACAATATAATTAAAAGACTTTCCCAAAGAGAGAAGTGGATTGAAACAACGTAACCACACCAGGTTACAGTCATATAACTTTAGCCTATTCTTTTTTTGGAAAAGTCTTTTAACTATATTCTGCCTCAACTTTTATGTAACAAAGTTGTGAGTTGTTTCCAGTTGCCATGGCCCCCGAGGTTGAAGGTCATGTAACGTGAGCATGCCCAGATAAGCCAGCCAAAGGCAAAACCTAATTGTTCAAACAGAGGAGTCTGGAGTCTAAATTACAAAGTAGACACAATATGACAGGAACCAGGAACCAATCAGTCAAGGCCTGGTATCACCCCATGTCAGGATCCAATCAGGTGTTGACTCTGGGCAGGCATTTACCTCATTGCAAGATGCAATCAGATCAAGCCCAATTATCCTCTGACTATAAAATGTGCCCTCGCCCCCCAGCTTGGGAAGACATTGATTTGAGCCCAGCTCCGGTCTCTTTACTTGGCAGCTTTGCAATAAACTCTTCTCTCTATAAAAGCCTGGAGCTTCCATATTTAGCTTTCCACTGTACATAGGCAAAGAGACCCAGTTTGATTTGGTAACAATAACAGACTCCTTGAATATACTCTTGGGGTTTCTAATATACCACATTAAAAAGCAGAAATAAGTGGAGAGAAATTAGTCTTTGGGCCTGCCATTTAATGAGATGAATTATTTATTCTTTAGCTGTCTCACTACCCACTGATCTCCTAGACATGTAATATGTGGCCCTCCCCTGCCCCAACAGGGCTGTCCTGGGCTCTGGACCCCACCCCTCCCACCTTACCTCCAGGCTTCTGGAAGCAGTAGCACCACTCATTGTTAGAGAGTTTGCCATCCTTGAAGGAGTCACAAGAGTTGAAGAGAGGCTTGATACAGGGCTCGTACTTATCCAGGTAGATGGCATTGATCTCTGAGTGGTCAAGCAGGAGGTCATAATTCATGTCCAACTTGTTGAACATCCAGCCCAGGGAGTCTTTGCAGATGGGCAGGATGCTGGTATCAAACCCTGCTGAGGGAAAGGCATATCTCAGTCGCTGCCAGGCCTGGTCCTTTCCTTCCTGCTCATGCCCCAGCTTTCCGCCCCAAGAAGAAGCCAATGGTCCACCCCCACATTCTCCTCTCGTCTTCTCAGGATACAGTTTTAGTGGTACTCTAGAATATTTTGTGTTTGTTGTTGCTTTGTTTTTAAACAAAACAGTTTAAGTTGTACTAAAACAGAAGGCAGCGTTTGAGGAAAATATGTTCTAGGGGGAACAAATCCCCAATGTTAATTCATCTGTGACGTAAATATGGGTTTTCGTTTACTAAACTTGCTTAAAACAAGGTATGCCTGAAAGGAAGAACACAAACATGGTGAGTGAGAGGTATCACTTATAATACTGAAAACTATGCTTTTATATTTAGGAAAAATATTTGAAAAAGCAAAACGAAATACTTTTTAAAAGGATAGCAGTGAAATGAAACAACATAAAGTAGTCCAGAAGCACTGATTATATCCCAGAGGATCATTAAATCCAAGCAGTCTGAACATTAATGGCAAAACAAGACAGGTACTGTCTCCATTCCCCACTCTACTTTTCTACAATCCCCTAAAGAGATACATGAGATGGAATCTGAATCAACTCAGACAATAATTTCTCTCTTATTTCCCTGGGGGAGGAGAAGTATTTTCTTAAAGAACTATTTGTTTCCACAATGGAAACTGTATACACCAGAATAATAACATCTAGCTCAACACTTGGGATATTGAGTCCACCGTAGACACACCCCAGAAAAAGTGCTACATCTAAAATTCATCTTTCAGAGTTACAGACACTGTGCAACCTCAGGTTATTCCATAAACTGAATTTCTAGGACTGGTTTTGTTTTCCCAGAAGGCAGATGATTAAAGTTAACTTTTGTGTTGCTATATATAAAGCACTCTTCTAAGCACTTTCTGCTTAATTATCTCACTGAAGCCTTGTAACAGTCCTATGAAATGGTGCTATACCATTTCTACTTTACAGGAAAACCAAAACCAAAAACAAACAAACAAACAAACAAAAACAAGGCTCAAGGCTTGAGTTCCTTGCTCAAGGTCATACAATCATACAATGAGGATTCAGACCCAAGCATCCAAACTCAGAGTCTACAGTCTCAGTGCCTCCACTCCTAGGGCTGCCTTCTGCCTTACTTGATCTTCCTGCCCTGGGGCCATCCAGCTGGCTTAGGGTGTTGTGTTGGGGAATGGACAGTTCAACATGGCAATACGGTGACTGCAATGGAGGGTCCTGATGGGGTTGATTGCCCAATGCCCAGGCATCAGGTTTCTATATACCAATAGGCAGTCCTCCTTAGTTGGCAGGATTTAAGAGAGATAGCAAAGTGCACCCAAACATTTTAAAGGCAGTGTCTTCACAGAAAAGCCTTTACTATCCAGAAACCAGGAAAATAAGTTTAGCACCTTCTCCTCTGAGATCTCACAGAACCCTGTGCATCCCTCATTGTTGATGCTGCTAATTAGACTATAAGTTCCCTGAGGGAAAGATGTTCCCTTCAGTAGTCTCAGCTATGACAGGCACATAGTCAGTGCTCAATTAAAATATATATAGTTGTTGTTGTTGTTGGGAGAAGTTTTCTAGCTACTGCAGAGTTTGCCCCTGTAAACATAAAAATATTTCCATTTTTACATTTGTCTTTTTATGTTTGTCATTAAAATATTCCCTTTTTATGTTTGTCATTAAAATATTCCCTTTTTATGTTTGTCATTTAAATATTCCCTTTATTTCATAGAGGCTATGGGTTCAACATGGCCCCTTTGACTGAACATCATGATTGTCCACAGTCTTTGATAATGACATTTCAGGGGCTAACTGAGTAAAAGAAGATAATTTACTTTGACACTGCATGGCTCTACATTTTGTAGGGAATATTTTACATACTATGCATCAATTTTATAGGATATTGACATTTTAAAGGAAGATAATTTACTCTGACACTACATGGCTTTACACTTTTATGCAGAATATTTTATATAATATACATCAATTTTATAGGATATTGACACTTTAATAGACAGGAAAGAGGAGTTTACTGCTGACTGGTCACCAAAAAGAAGCTGGTTGAGCAGTGGTCAAAAATTCAAAAAGTTCAGCTCATCCCACCCCCACTGAAAGGTTTCCAGAAAAGAGGTGCCTGCTTCTGGCATCTATGGTTGCCTGTGGCTCAGAGGGAAGTAGAGTAGCCCCTCCAGTTGCCCCTGAGTGTACAGGACCAAGTAAGGTCCCAGGGCTTCCCCCTCAGAACTCCTGGCCTGACAAAAATGTCACTCCCTACTCTGGCCTTGTGCGCTAATCAAGCATCCTTCCTTTACATTCCCTTTATACCACCATTGCATCAGGATATCAAACCTAAAAGCCTCTCGTGGGACTCAATTTGCTTCTGGTCAAGGGCAGGCCATTCAGAGACATCTCCAGGGAATGAAGGCTGCAAGAAGCAGCTCTCCTCACATCAATCTGCTCTTTGTTGAAAGGTTGTTCAAAAGCTCAAGGGCCGGGCTGCTCCTGGAAGATCTAGGAGGAAGTTTCTCAACACTATCTATGAATTAATTGTCCACAAACTCCCAAGGAACCTCTCACAGGAGTGGACAGCAAAAATCTTATTTTTCTTTTCCCACAACCTCCACGAACCACTCTTAGAACACTGAGATTCTGAGAAGGAAACACTCTTTCCCTTAAAGTAGAAGAAAGAAACTTAATCATCCTTTGGATTGGTCTTTTCCACTGGTATCTCTGGAAGGTTATGAACAGCAAAAAATAACCAAAGATTAAGGATATCATTTGGCTGAAGACCAGATGCCAGTGTAACTTCTTACCTACTGCATTCAATCCAAGAGCATTAACAAATTCTGTCCAAATAAGCATATGAACAGGGCAAAGTATTCCACGTTCCAAACAACATGTTTTTATATTTTGACCAATTAACATCAAAATTGCTGCATAGTAAAGGCTGTGGCAAAATGACATGTATTGGAACAATTGTGTTGATTGGTAATTAATTCATTCTGTGTTGCTTGGCCACGGTTTGGAGAAGCCTACTCCTAAGCACCTTTGAATGAAAAGCATCAAAGTGACTCCGTCACAGTACCAATTCACAGGCCTACTCTGAGTGTTCTCCCCAGTGAGTGGCAAAGCTGAGCATAGTCTCTGCCAGTTCAGGAGCTGAAGCCAGTAGGAGGCTCCTTAAAGAATCTGCATGTTATGGGTAGGAAAAGGGGTCACTTGTCTGGGAGTTTCCATGGAAAACAAAATTCAGTCTGACTATTGTAGACAAAGACCTAGTATCAAAAATATTTGCTACAGTGTTGCCTATATCAACTAAATGTTGGCAACAACCTAAGTGTCCCAAAACAAAGGTTTAATTAAATACATTGTTATATCCATAATTGAAATTCTGTATAGCTATTACAAAACAGAACACTCTTCAACAACATAAAAAAATCATAATATATTTCTAAATGATAAAAGGTCATTAAAAAAGTTTGCAAAGTATGATCCAAGCTTGGTTATTATATACACATATTATCCTGTAAGACAAAGAAAACAACCTCAAAGTATATATCACAACATGCCTACAGTTGTTAAAATGATAAGATTATGCATTTTTCATATTTTTCTACATATTTAATGTATTTTCCAATATGTATACACTAAATGTTTTAAATCAGACTTTTAAAAAATATATAGATTGTATTTGTTTTTCTTGATTCTAAAGCATCTTCCCCTTCTCTGTATTTTAATATTTCTGAGACTGGGAAATATTAAAAGTTAATGTGTACATTTAATATGGTAGGTTTTTTCACCTCCAAATTATATTACTAACCCTAAATCAATAACATCTAGTAACTGAGGAAATGAAATATTTAAAATAAAATAAATGAGCAGAAGTAAGTAATCTTACTGCTTTGGGCTGTGTCAGAGCTGGTGGGCTTGATGACTCTGTTTGCATCTTCATGAAGAGCTCCAAACCAATCTTTCAGCCGGGAAGCAAGGTTCCGCAACTCCTTGTCAGTGCAGGCTACAGAAAAGTAAACCGAATGAACAGTGAGTCTGTGGGCTTCCTGCCCTCCGTGTGCTGAGCAAAGCCATGTTCAATGCAAACCTCCTTGACCATCCATGCTATATCTCCTACCCCACTCTGAAAACACCCCAAAGAAAATGCTATTACCACAAATATGACAAAGAGCCTAGATTCCCAGGACAAGCAGCAATTGTTCAGAACTTGAATTTGGACAGCCTCCGAGCTGCTGAAGCAAGCTGCAGTGGTCTTACAGTTGTGTAACATCCTCCAAAGACTGTCACGGATCCCTTTTGCTAACCGCATAAAGCTTGCTCTTGAGATTTTGCCAGAGAAGATTACATTTTCCACTAAACTCATGCCAAGAGATTAACACCCAGGAATAGCTAATGCTCTCAGGGAGAGGCTGCCTAGGACACCAAAAAATCCTGGTACTAGCAGACTCTCAATTTTGTTTTAGCCCAAGGTTTGGATTTGTGGATTTGGCCTATTTTTCTAGTTTTCCTATGGACTTATTCTTGACTTTCCACTATAAACAGATGGATGCCTTTTCTATGAAAAGGTTATTTCTATCTTAGGCCATCTGTAATCATCCAGCTCATCTTTTAGGGTAAGATGGAGTCATTGGGGCAGACACATACTCCTTCCAAGAACAAGAAAATCCAGACAGATGGGTAGGCAGGTGAGTAGGTGGGTGTAAGCTATTTGGAGGTCTCTTTGAGTGCTGAGACTTGAGGGAAGCTATCCCAAATGAGGGAAAACTGCAGAGAAAGGAACTGAGTTCTGCAGCCCCCTAATTTTTCATTGGGGCACACCCTAATTCTAGGTACTCAGAATTCTGGCAAATGGTCCAGACAGTGGGCTGCTTCTGAGGCACAGAAAAGCCAGCAATGCAACTGATGGCTGTAAGCATATGAATAGACAGGAATTAGAGATCGAGGGGCTGAAATTTCAATGACTAAAAAGGGACAAAAAATTGAACCTTACAACTGTCATGTTTCTCAAATCCTAAAGCTACACGAGCAGGCAGCTGTGGAGTCAAGCAAAAATGCTACTATAATGCAGAGCCGGGATCCAATTGTCTCATGCAGAGGAGACAGATTAGGGATCAGAACCTACCAGTGCAGAGCCCAGTGTAAGATGGGGACAATGATGGAGAAGCAGACAGTCTTACCAAAACTCCAGGCCAGCCTTCAATTAGCACAGGCCCTGACTGAATTAAGGTGATCAGACCCCATCAGTCGCCTCACAAAGGACAACACAAATCTTTGCCAGAAGAAAATGCCATGCAGATCCTGTCCTCATTTTTATAATGCACATCTGCTTTTCAGTCAAGCCCACCTTTCCTTACCCTGGGGCTTGATGGAGAACCCAACTTCCCAGGTCTCAGGCAGGAAAGGTGTTCCCCACCCTCCATTGTAGTGGGAGGTGGCCAGGTCTAGGCTGGGTCTGTGCAATCTGAGGACTGTCATTTATAACAGCTGCCTTCACTCCAGCTAAGATTCAGACTCTAAACTCCTGCAATGCATGGAATGAATGTATGTCCAGTGTTTACACTCAAGTTCTTAATGACTTCAAGATACTGCTCTGCTTTGAACAGTTGGGGCATGACTGTACTTCAAAACACTAGCTAGGAAATTGCATGAGAAATGTCTTGACAGGTAGCAGAGCCTAACGACTCTGGAGTTGTGCTGGCTAGAATGGATCTCAGCTTTTCCACTAGTTGGCTAGGTGACCTCAGACAAGCCAGTTAACCTTTTGGTGTCTCAGCCTGCTTATCTGTAAACTCAGGGTAATATTATTATGTCACATAAATCAGACAATGTGTATGAAGTTCTTACCAAAATACATGACATATGATAATAGCAATTACTTAGTATGTGCCAGCTATAATTTCTATTATTATTACTATTATTTTAAAATTGAAGATTTGTAAGTAACCTTAGTGCTGACATCACAGTACTCAGAAAACCAGTAAGACAAATCCAGCTACATTAAACTGACTTGGGTCATATCAGAAATACGGTGAAAATTTCGATGCTTGTGCCAGGCAATAAGTTGCCATTAGCTATATGTGGCTATTTAACTTGATTAGTAAAATTTAAAATTTAGTTCCTTAGTTTCCTACCACCCCACTCCAAGGGCTCAGCAGCCACACATGGTTGGTGACTTCCATACTGGAAAGCACAGACCCAGACTCTTCCCACGGGAGCAGAGTGTTGTACCGGACAGCACCGGATGAAGCCAGCGACCATTTTGAGATTTCTACCTTTCTGGAGGTTCACCACTGCTGGATGAGATTGAAGAGTTGATGCAGCAGCACACCACATCATCCTGATGCCCAAGTCTGGACCTCTACTCCATCTCCCTAGCCTTTAAAGCTGGACTGAGAAAGAAGATAATAAGTTCCTGCCAGCCAGGAACCACAAGCAGGCAAGGGAGTCACTGTTGCTGAAGGTGGATTCATGGCTTTGCCCAGACAACAGAACTGATCCTTGGGGCAGGTTCACATGGACATGCTTATTGGCCCCAACGCAGAGTCTCTGGGGGCCTGGTTGCTCCCTTTGCTGCTACTGCACTGCTCTAAGCATGAGAGGATGTGTCTGTTTTTCTGAGGAAAAGAGGATGTGGGATCTATAATCAATCTCACACTTGACAATGGAAAATTAATAGCATCTATTTTTCTCTCTATTGCCATGCATGCCATCTATTCTAAATGTTCTCTGAACAGAGAAAATTGCGAAGTCAACTTGTAAAGGAAATCTCACACTGCAAGATAAATTAGTCAGTCCTGTTTAACTAAACTCTGACAGATGTGCAGGTAATCTGTGCCTTTACAAGACTGCTGAATTTTCCACATCTTTGCCAAAGTGCACAGGCCCTGGATGGCTGATGGGATCAGGGACGGGAATCTTGAAAGAGTGAATATGTCACTCAGGGACGAGCACAAGCAGGGAGCCTTTGGCATGGGTAGAGAAAGATCAGAAAACCAAAATGGAGACGAGGGGACTCAATTATTGGGCCCTGTTCACTCACAGTATCCTCAACTGAATGGTCCTTATGAGGAGAAAGTCAGGCACACACTGCAGAAATTGACACATCTCAGAGGAAAAAAAAAAAAAAATCAAAGAAAACAGCCTGCAGAGGGCTACTGGTTCACAGCTAGTATTCCAGCCACAACACATAAGCTGGCAATGGGAGAGAAATGCCTGCCTTATAAGGTGCCCATCACGATCCCCAATAAAGTTGAGACCTGGGGATTGATGCTTTCAGAAATGGGGATCCATAGGGTACATCCTACACAGTTCCCCACTCGTGAAAACTAATTTTTGTGGGGGAGAAAACTGTAAAACCATCTCCCCTGCTCTTCTGGCACTCCACCTGGGGCAGGCCAATCCTGGTGGTCTCTGGAGAAGGGTCTGAGGGCCTTTTTCCACACCTCCTGGGGAAAGAAGCAGAGCACAGGCCACCAGCATCAGACTCTTTAGAGGAAAAGATGGGGCTTTCTTGGGAGAGGATCTGGTTCAATCACAAAGACAGGAACCTGATTTCTTTTGCCACTGTCACCCCCCTTCTTGGGCATATGCTAGCTCACCCTCTAGCTGTCCCATTTTCAGTTATATTCCCTCCTGTCCTCCACCCTGGTTTCAGCTTGCTTTAATTGCTCTCATTCTCCTAGCCATCTCTTCCCAGCATCCTGCTTTTGATGCATTTCTGTTTCTCTTCCTGTTTCTACAAGGTACTGCACATCTTTCTTATGTGAACTCCATCTGCTCCAACATGGTTGGTATGTGGGTAGCATCTCGGGGAACCCTCAAGTCCCAATCTCTGCCTCATCCCATAATCAGAAAATGGTACCACCAAATTCTCATATCCTTGGGGCAAAAAATTGGGAATTTCCCCAGATGTCTCCACCATCCCCACCCTCCCTGTAAGATGGTCACAAAAAAGTCTGCTGCTTCTAGCTCTCTCCACTACCTTTATTCCAGTCCCTGATCCCACCATCACCTGCCACCATGACAACCTGAACAGACTCCTAGTTGGTCTCCCATCTTGCTCCCCCATGCTCCCTTCTCCATCCCGCAGCCAAAATGATCTTTCTAAAATAGACATTTGATCAAGTCATGGTTGTGCCTCCCTTCTCCATCCCACAGCCAAAATGATCTTTCTAAAACAGACATTTGATCAAGTGATGGTTGTGCCTGTGCCACTTCAGAGGTTCCCCATCACTCAGTCACTCCGTAGGTTAAGTCTAAACTCCATAACGTGAGTTGAAGGGCCTGCTGGATCCACTCACTGAAGACCTCAGTCTCTCCCCTGCAACCTCTCCTCCTCAGCCTCCATGCTCCAACCTTGCTGCTGCTCTCACACTCTCTTCCAACTTGATACAGTCCTCCTGCTGTCTTCTAGCACCAATTCCTCTGTCAGATCTTGGCCTTAAAATGACTTTCTCTTAGAGGATTTCCCAATCCTCAAACTAGTGAGTATTTCCTTTCCTGGGCATGCAGTGCCTTGCTACTTGGATGGCATTCATCACACCTATAGTTTCTCATTCAGTGCCTATCTTCCCTCTAGATCACAGCAACATAAAACTCATGCCCTAAGACTGCCTCAGCACTAGTGGGTCCACATCTAATGCGTTCGATCCTGCGATACACACCCATTGACTGAAGAAGCACCCACTTACTGCCTTTTGTCAACTTCAATTTTTCCATCTGAAAAATGGCAAAATAATCTTAGCTCATAGTATCATGGCATAGAATAGGATAACAGCATACTGGCATATAGCAGGAATGCAATAAATTTATGTTCCCCTTCCCAAGATCCCAATTGTCTGCATCATGTGTTATAGAATTTTATCGTTATGCTCTTTTTTTAAGCCTGTGGAGATGCTTGTGACATAAAGAATACCATGTTTCCTTACTCATTTCATAGGTGGGTCAGTGAAATCTGAGAGATTCGGGTTGCAATTTCTGTCTACCACGGATAAGCTCTAGGAT